CTCCGTGGGACATACAAAGCCTGTGTTTCCTTAGCATGAGTGTTATTTATAAGGATTGGATGTGTTAGAGAAAGAACATGATGTTATTCTTGAATTTTAAATGGAAAACTTAATGAATTAATAAATCTTGACTGCTAAACCCAGTGCTGGAGAACAGAATAGGACAATGAGGTGGAGACAGCAATTGAAGCAGTCTCTCTGTTTATAAGCTGATAAGTCATGGACTGATGAGTCCATTCCTTAATTGTGAAGAAAACTCATTTTAGCCTCTGGCTGAAGAGGTGGGTTATTAATTGATCTTGTAATTAAAATAACAATGTTATACTTGTTGGGAGGATAAAGGTGCAAGACTGTATAAATCATCCCTTCCTCCATAGTGTCATGTGATAAATTAATTATTGTGGGTTGGGAGATGTGCCAGTTAGTCATTCTGTACATCCAACCGACACCAATATCAGCGAACTTTAAAGTCAGACATGCTGTGATGTTATGAAACTTATTAAGAGGAAAAATAATAAACTGGATTAGCATGCAGTTTCAGTTCAACCCACTAACCTCTGGCTTCAGTGTGATAATAGAAAATCCTATTTAACTTGATTGAACTGGGGCTCCTATTCAGTTTTTTCCCTTGAAAGATCAGGTTATACCATACCTAGATTTATCCCAACAATAAAAATATAATTCAATAGCAGTCTATTTTGAATTAGTCAACCTGCGTTTTTGTACGTGTCAAATCTGTGCATGAAAGACGAATCACAAAGGCACCAAACCCTAGGGAACCTTGTTTGGCATATATTGACGTATTCACCGATTTGCGAGGTGCTGTGTTCACAGGTATTCTAAAACATAATCTCTGCCTTGTCATTTTAATTTGCGTTTGTGATCAAGCCGCAACTGGCAAATTTGACAAACAGTAAGCCCCGCAGCATCCATTTTTCATGCCAACTTTGCTATTTTCAGTCCCTCCCATCTGGTATGAGTTTAGAAACTCACCAATGATTTACAGTTGCACTCTTTTGTTATGAAGCCTGTAAATGACTGGGATTGTAGGGCTTTCGTGGTTTTTACACCATGATTCTGCATTAGCCTGTGTTGATGTGTGATTGCTATAATGAGAATTCCTTAAAAGACTAATGTAATTGAATCTTAGAAGCCGTGTATATGGGTTTAATAGGGATTTTTATCTTCATGATTCATTGTGTGGATTATTACACTAGGATTTGTGCTCTCTGAACACAAATATTTAAGAGCATAGTTCACCCAAAAATGAATATACTGTCATCATTGTACTGATAGTTGAAACATTCTTCATCAAAAAATATTATTTTGTGATCTGCAAAACAAAGAGTCATTTGTTGTGATTGATGACGGAATTTTCATTTTTGGGTGAACCGTCCCTTTAATTCTTGATTATAATCTGCTTTATTTACAGTATTATAAACTGCACTTTGCAGATGGTTTTTGTTGTGTATGCTCTGCTGATTCTTGTTATGAAAACTAAAAATGGATTTTATTCAAAATCAGTCAGGTGAGAATTTTCTGATTTGGCACATCAGTTCTGAAGCTTTATTTAATTTTTTTATTTTTTAAGCCAATTTTTTATTTTTTAAGATGTATCCAAAGACTAGCTGATACATTCATTTCCATTCTGCTTTAAAATATATTTTGATGTTTAAAATTGGATGACTTGCATGAATTCTGTCCCTCCGGACCCTTTATCACTGCAGTATATGTGCTCAAACGATTTTAATTAATGTGAAAAGTTGTGGTTGCAGTTGTGGCTAATGCTTTGTTTTCCTCCCTGGGTAGTTCTCGCTAATGCAGCTTTATAATGAACTGGATCATCCCTCAGTGAGGACAGATGCAGTGGTTTGTTAGATAGGAGAAGTTAGCTGTGTGGATATATATCAGAGCCAGCTTCTCTTGTGCTATTAGGCATCCTGCCAAGGCATGCCAATAGCTTACAATACAGCACAAATCTCAGTGATGAATGACACAGACAGATACATACCATATCTCACCCTCAGCAGATTTCAGCCACTCTCAAATCTCTTGTTTTTATGTGCAAAACACATAAGCTGCATTAACTTGAAATCCACTTGTGTAACCTCCAATATGGAGGTGTTTTTGCAGATTTGAAGCATGTACACACATACAACAGATGCATAGATGTTTCTAGTAAATGCACCCTTGGATTCTCTCACGTTGGCTCTTTATGCAGAGAATTTTCTGGTTCTGCCTCTCAATGCCATATTATAGCATCCAAATCCATTTAAAGTAAGCTCACACTGATTAACGGGCCAGAGAATGTGTGAAATATTTCGACTGCATCCCAACTGAAATGTCAGGTAGTGTGGCAAATGTTTGAAGTGAACGGGGCTAGAGATTCTGTTTTCTGTTAAAGGCTGAACTTGGCATCACAAATCCAGATGCTTTCATATCACCTGATACCTGATTTGAATTGCTAGAATATTTTTCACTGCTGAAACTGATAGTTCTAAATATGCGTTTGCATGTATTTTAAATGGTTTTTGACACCTGATGTCAAGTTATAGAGCATGATTGTAAATGAAGAATATATTGATTATTTGAATCATCAGCATGGAGATCTGTGTATAATTGAATTCCATTGTCATCTCGGTGCATAAACATGTTATGGTATGTGGATCCTGTGTGTCCTCTGTCCTTTAGTTGACATTGAATCAAAATTGATCTTATTTACTTTCTTTTATTTATTATACTTACGTTATATTCATTTATAATTATATTTTGTGTCTTGTAATTCAATACAGTTCTCATTATGTTTTATACATACATGCATACAGTACTGTACATTACTGATCAAAAGTTTTGAATAATTTTGTTTTAGTAATATAGTTAATATAGTTTCATGAATATATTAATATGGGGGGGGGGGTAATAAAAATAATAATGTTTATTCAGCAAGGATGCATTACATTTATCAGAAGTGAAAATAAAGACATTCACAATGTTACTTATTATTTACAAAAATCATGGAATTCCTGGGTTTCCACAAAAAATATGAAGCAGCATAACTGTTTTTAAACAATAAAAATGAGAATTTGTAATTATTTATATCATGTGCCCATTTTCACAGTCTAACCCCATTTGTTCATATTTTCTCATGTTTCACTCATACATCAGATTACTGCAGTAAAATAGGTTGATTTTAAATGATCTGCACTCTCAGCCTTGTCCTTTCTGCACCCATATATTATAGGCTCAGCAGTCGTTTGTCCTCGCCTTTGTCATCAGCAATGTGTTCCTTTAATCTCTTATGTTATGTTATCCTTAAATCTTATGCTAGCCTGCTTCTGTGATGCTCAGGTTATGTAATGCTCCCTAGGCATTTGCATGGGTTGATGCCTGTACTGTAAATGCATGATCCAGCCAAAGCAGAAGATTCATCCGTTGCCATCTTTTTTGGATCAGACAGACTTCTCTTCCAACATATGCCAAAACTCTGCATTCAAGCTGCGTTGATGTGTCACACTGCTATTTTCATACCTTCCCAGGAGATTGTGCAGTGAAGAAATGATGAGCAGCGCAATATCACAGAACTAAATTTCTCAACACAGTGATTACAATGATGGATCCATATTCTTTATGCACGGTTCTCACAGCCTTGGAAAACATTTTGATTTCTAGGAGTAAAAAGAGTCATGAGAATTTCTTTAGTGAAGATAATTATTATTTCAGTCAAGTGATTGGTACCTGACATACAGATGGTAATCCATGTAGCAATCTAGCAAATACGGTATAGGTTTTTTTTTCTGATCTCAGTGAATGTTTCTGCTTCAAATTCAGAAAAACAGTGAGATTTTCTTTTCCTCACACTTACTGTTAGATGCTTTGAATTTAAAATGCTGCAAATTAGTTTTCCAGATATGAGAAATGAGAGAAACTCTCACTTCCGTGTACAATGTGGGGAAGCGCATGCCTTCACATTTGTTAATGCTGTAACATATCTATGTGACATAACTACGGAGCCCAAAGTCTGAGAACATCATACTTAAAAATCCATGTTACTGTTCTCACCACAATGGTGGAAATTTCATTTCAGCCCTCAGAAAACATGAAACATTACATCGAAGGCCTGAAGAACTTCATACCTTCAACACTGGGGTTCAAAATTCAATCAGGGAAAAATAGTCTGAACACAGACCTCAATAACTTGCAGGTGATTTTCAAAGAACGAGTTGCCTGGAATATAAATGTCCCCCACTCAAATTCAGACATAGCAAGTAATTTAACGCTAGCTCGAAAGACATAAGTGGATCACCTGCTTGAAGGGAGTTATTTTCAGATTTTTTTTTTTTTTTTTATGTTGTGTTCAACTTAGTATTCTGTACATGCCTGCTTTATTTGTGTGTATATTAAGTACGGTGTTATTTCTTTCATAGCCCTTTTCTATATGTCATTTTGTATTTGAAAGCATGCCATTCTAGTAGCTTACTCTGTTTACTCCTGCTATAAGAAATAATATACAATGAAGATTTATGTATGATAAACATTTCTTTTTTCCCATCAAGAGAGGATTGTTGCTTCTTGACGAGCTGGAAAATAAAAATTCAGCCTGTAGTTAAAGCTCTTTCACTGACACCGCTAGAGAGATTTACACTGCATTTGTGAACATGAAAGGGTCCTCATTTTACATGCACATATTCAGAGAACCTTCCTCAGTTCCTCAGCCTTTGAACAGCTTTTAAACAATTTATCACTGAGCAGTTAATTTCATTTCTCCAACCCTTGGGACGAATGGTATTTCTCAGCATTGCACCCATAAGACTTACACGTGTTGACCACTCTGAATCTTGTTGCTAATTCATTTCTGCCTCATTCACACGACTGTAAATGAAAACTTTGCGTTTTAGAAGGATCTTCCCTCTCCGGCTCGGAGGGTTAGTTTATTTGAGTTAGCTTGTTACGTGTGTTCACTCTTTCCCTAAATCGTGTTGGTTTTTATTTTCTTTCTGTAGTTCCTCCAGCAATCCATGAGATGAGAAGTCACGGGGTCCGACCCGGTCAGATTGCCCTGCTGAGATGTGAGGCAGCAGCTGTCCCCTCTCCAGTCTTTGAGTGGTACAAGGGAGAGAAAAGGTAAAACGATAAATGATAAAAGCCTTAATTTCATTATCTTAGCCGTACAGTGATCATTTATCATACATTATGCATGTTAAGTGAGTTTATTTGCGATTCAGAATGCTCACCACAGAGAAGGTTAACGTCGGTCGAGGCCGCTTTTTGTGGCAAGTGTGCTTGTGTAAAAGAAATGCAATATTTTGATCAGTATTCATTTGCAGTCACTGCCTTTGTTGAATCCACTGAATAATTACAGTACAATCAAACTGTACAGCAGTTTTTGAGAAGTTCGCCTAAGGTTTAATCGCTGAACGTTGATCTAAAGCTGTATTACAGTCTTTAGTAGTATTAGTTTAATAGCTATGGATCTGCAGCTTATCAAATATTACAAAGTGTCTTATTAAAGAGTCTTAATTTCGAAAGATAGTGATTCTTGGCACAGCATAAGCTCATGAAAATCACTTTTGCAACTTTACCGTAATTTTTAACTTTTAATTAAAGACAAGTCATACACTACTTTCTAAAAGAGCTCTGAAGCAAACTGTACCATTTGAGTCATTTGAGCAACACAAAAAGATGTCTTAATTGATCAGTCAGCATTATGTATAATTTTAAGCATTGGTTTGAACACATAGTGTTTTGGGGGGAGGGGCGGAATTCATTTTTAGTTCCCAAAAAGTGCTAAAATGGTGATTTTCTAGAAGGAAAGACTCGTGTTTGCAAGACAAGGAAGAGTTTTAGGGCTGCTTCGGTTGTGTGGCAATGAAATGTCAAATCAGATCCATTTTTAACTCTGCCATTGTCATGGCACTCAGTACGCTTCTAGTTTTCTGTCAGCTGTGTACAAGTATCAGCACATAATGTGGCTTTCACTCTTTGCAGTGTAAAGTTGGCTGCAGATGGTTAAGTAGATGTAAGAGAGATAAGACCAATCACAATTCAATATGCAAATGAATGCAAGAAAGTATGCCAATATGCAAATATTCATCACTGTCAACACAATAAAAAACACTGGCTCACTGCTAGTTCTTCCATTTTTTTTTTACAACGTTTCGACCCCTTTCTGGGGATGTCAGTGTTTTTAGGGTTTTTTGTTATTTTCTGTGAACATTCATTTGTGGCTGTGCACTAGAATTTTTTTTCTAGATGTGTATATTTTATTTTTAGGTTTCTACTTTTCCAATACCAAATCTTCTTTCACTATGTCAGTGGGAGATTTTTATTTATAAAAGTATTTATAAAATGTAATAAAGTTGCACACTTATTAACTACGGACTTATTTCTAGCTCTAGAATAAATAAAAAAAACTGTTAACAGCATTTGATTATGTTTAAAAACAGCCAAATTAATTAAATGTTATGGAATGTGATAAAAAATGAAAATAAATCAGAGGTATACTCAAGTCTACTTCTAAATGCACCATTTTTATACAGTTACATTAAAGTTGAAATAGTACAAACCTGTGTATGTTAGGAGGATCTGTCTTACTATCTTAACTCTGCATTTTAATTGTATGTTTGTATAGCCTTATCACTAGTAAATAACATTCCAAGTCTTCGCACCAATCAGCATCAAGTGGTGGTTTTTGAATTTAAATACCAAATTACCCCATTACCCGTCATTTACTCACTCTTGCTGAGTACGATCTGAATCAGCAGTTCACACTGTGCTAATTGTAATTATAGGCTTCACTCAATTTATTCAAATTGCAAAGGAGGCTTATTGGCATTGGGTCTGTACTCTGCTTAATCTAAGGCTTTACATTGAGCATTGCTGCTAAACTGTTTTACTGTATTTGTCTGAATGTGCCGACTCGATGCTGAACTAACAGCAGGAAACAATAGAAACCAACAGGAATGATGCAGAATCATGAACTAGTTTTGTTTTTAAAAAATAAAATAATCATGAAAAATTATAATAATGTATTTCTTGAGCTAAATTTATGTAAATTTTTGTAAATCTAAAGATAGCTGGGTTTCCAAATTAGATACTTTTCCAATGGAAAGCACTTGTTAAATTGCGACTCCCAAAAACGTTGTTCTGTTTTCCAGTTGCTTGCTAATAACAGAGGCTGAACAGAATGTTATAATGTGTAAGCAAGGTGATTCTGAATAGATTATGTAAATATTTTTGTGTATAATGGCCTATAACACTCAGATACAGTGGTAGCAGTGGTCTTTTTATTTTAAGAAAAGTTTTTGTTCTTATTTAAGCAAATGTCAGCAGGAGACAAGCTACTTGAGAGTTAGGGGACAAAAGGTCAGAACATTGCTTTACCTGTGAGAGTAACACGTATGACCCAAGTCAGGACTCTCGAGCAACTGCAGCTGAACCTCTGACCTTGACACAGCTATAAGCCATGTGCAAATTTTTCTGCTTCTGATTTTCCCTTTAGCTAGTCCATCAGGACCAGGGACAATTGTAATTTTTTACATTTTCCTTCATAAATCACATACTACCATATATCTACCTGCCATCTTTTGGTGTAAGAAACATTAATATGTGTCCAAAACATTATGTGCCATTCTTAGATGAAGAAAGAAATCAGTGACTGACTTTTCAGCAGCCATTACTCGTCTTTAGTGTCACATGATCCTTCAAAAATCATACAAATAAGTTTATTTGGTGCTCAAGAAACATTTATTTTTATTATTATCGATGTTGAAAATTTTGTGGAAACTGATCATTTTTTTCCCCAAATCTTTCATAAATCTTTTATAACTATGTAAAAGTAATTCATACTGTACTTGCTGAATAAAAGTAGTGAAAAATATTCAGACATTTGAAAAATATTCTGTGTTTTGCACCTTTCAGTCATTTTTTCCAGTTTACGTCAATAGTGTGACCAAATTAATTTTTAAAAGTACTAGTATTCCATGTAGCCTGTCTGCATGTATAAATGAGAAGTGCTGCTAAAAATACTTTTTGCTGGATGGATTTATAGCATGCCACACTGCAGCAGGTGTCACTGCTTGACATGTCATGTCAACTCATGGTCCTATTTTCAGGATTAACATGGGCCAAGGAATAGACATCAAGAACCTCAGCTCCAGATCAGTTCTCACAGTGAAGAACATGACACAGGATCGCTATGGCAACTACACCTGTGTGGCCGTCAACAGGTTGGGAACAGCCAACGCCAGTGTGCCTCTGATTCGTAAGTAACAAGCATTACTCTCCTCTGGCTAACTCGTATTGTGCTGGTACAGTAGCTGCTTTTTCACATATGCTGTTACAGTCGTCGCAGAGCTCCTCGGAGAAAACGCAGTGTTTTCCCCCATCTTCAATGCTTATGTTGCAGAGGAAATGAGAGAAGATGCTACTCAAATAGGTCATTGTTTTGGAGCCTGAAGTTTGCTGTGAAGCATTTTCAAAGAGCTCTTAAAATGAGATGCAATTTCTTTGAGCAGTCTGTTTGAAGTGCTTAGTGTTTTTCTGATTCACTGGCCGCTTAGTCAATAATAAAAGTAAGTGGGCTAACAAGATAAACAAATGAAAACAAAAACAAAAAAAACAACATCAACAACCATAAAAAAAAAATAGTGATAGTCTTAAAAGTGGCAGATGGAAAAGTTGAGTCCCCTGCTTTTAAATGAAGCATATCAAAGGCCCAGCTGAGATGAAAAATTCCAGTATCTTTCACGTTCTACTGAAGACCGACAGTCTGTGATGCGAGAAACCCAGAATAGACCAGAAAAAGCTGCATCTTCTCCTCCCACCAGAGTTCCTTCGTACCTCTTATTTTCATCATCGCTAATGAAAAGGAAACCTACCCTACTGTGCTCCTAATGAGAAATGGCAAGCAATTCCTCCACAACACACACATCTCCACATCTGTAGAGATTGCAAATGCAAGAGCTGATCATCGTTGCCTAGGACTAAATTGCTGTTATAATATTGGTCAATAAGTATTGATGAAGCAAAGGTGGATTCAGGGACACATTAATATTTAATGGAGGACCTCAACCTCAGAGACAAGGTGTGGAGTACTAATCAAAGTGCAGTGTTTGATTTTCTCCTCAGCATGGAGAAACCTATCATTTCGCTCTATTTTTAGCCCGCGTATGATTTCCGGCCTCATATTTTATACCTTGTATTGATTGAAAGTGTTTCTTAGATTATTCCCTCGCATTTGTTTTGTTGACTCTTCATCCCAGACATATAGTATCCCCAGCCAAATGCTGTAGACACAGAATTAAGTACTTTCCCCCTATGGGACCAACCTGGGTCATTTATTGTACTGTACGTCCGACAGCTTCAAGGTGATTGAGTGCTTTTGGTGTCTACAAAGGGTATTTAACATAGTGACATGCTCTTTAATGGCATGAGCTTCCATTAAAGGTCTTCTGTGACAAGGTTGAATGTAAACGGTGGGAAAAGCCATTGTTCTATACTTGAATGTCAAGATTCAGTGTTTTTGGACAAAAGGGAGATTAAAAAAAAAATTTCACCCAAGTTCACCCAAAACCAAAATGTTGGGCATCATTTATGGTGCTTTTCCACTGCATGGTACGACTCGGATTAGCACGGCTCAGTACGGCACGGCTCGGCTCGGCTCGGCACGGTTTGCGTTTCCACTGCAGTTTAGTATCGCTTTGGAATGGGCGGGATTATTCACATGTCGTTATAGTTGCGCCACCTCTGCTGCCACGACTCCTAAAAAAAACATTTTCATTCCGCGTCGCCCCATCAAGCTCTAGCTGGATCCGCTCCTCTGCTATCAACGAGAGGAACGCCTGTACTTCCGCAACAGACAAAGAAACTTTTTGGTTGTTAAAAAAAGGTGCGCACGTTCAAAACAGTTGCATTCGATCCTTCGCTGGCTGTGCTGATTTAAATCTAGCGATTCTTTTGTGTTTGTGTCACAAGTTCAGTGACGAGAGTTTACACGTCACGTTTTGGTAACGGTACGGTTCACTTGGAACCTCAACCGAGGTGGTACTAAAAAATTTACCAGGTACCAGGTACTGTACCCAGTGGAAAACCCCCCGAAAGTGAACCGTACTGAGCCGTACCGTGCCGTACCATGCAGTGGAAAAGCGCCATTATTCACCTCATGTCGTTTCAAACCTGTATGCATTTCTTTATTCTGTGGAACACAAGAAGATATTTGGATCCAATGTTGTTTTGGACCCCACTAACTTTCTTTGTATGTACAAAACACTTAAACATGCTTCAGAATGTCTTCTTTTGTGTTCCACTGAAGAAATATGTTTGGAACAATATGAGGATGTGTAAATATTGACAGAATTTTCAATTTTTTGGTAAGCTATGCCCAAAATGAACCCTAAAAACAGGAGTTTTTAGTGTCGTTATTTATACTGGCCCAGTATTACCACTAAAAGAGAGCTGGCGCACGAGTCTAAACTCCATTAGGTCCTCATTGGCCTGAATATTTTATTCCTCATTGTTTTATGCTTCACATAAAGTACATTTTTGAATGTAATTCTTAACAGCAGAATTAGAATGTTAACTGACGTTATGCTTAAGAGATTACATTTTCATTAAGAAAAAGTGCACTTTCATGAAACGTTGGCGTTGGCATGCACTCTTGTTAATGACGTTACAGTCAGATACACTCAGAGATTGAACCACATGTTTAAAAGTGCATTATTTAAGCTTTACTAATTGCCAAATGACCTCAATATAGCTAATGGCCTTGGTTGCAATAGTCAAAGACAGATTCAGATAAAAAAATGCATGTCAAAGCAACACACTGTCGCTCTTTGTTTCCTCAATGTCTCAATGGGAATTCATTAGTGTGAAAGATATTAACTCTCAAGAATGAGCTTAGCACTACTAGTCATTGACTATAATGAAAATAATCTCACAGAATGCAATTTTTAGTGCATACAGCTGGGGCAAATGATTGCGTAAATTGACAAACAACCACAAATTTCTCAGCATCATACAATGCTGTCACAATTTTGTAGTTGTACTTTATTTAATTTGATATATTTTCTTCAGCGAGCACACATTTCCAAACGTGACAAACGGTTTTGTGAGGTAACTGGCAGTTAGTGTGTCTCCTTTGTTTAATTTCTAAAACCTTCCTGACCATTGTCTGTGAACACCAGTTCACTGAACAGGCTCTTTTTAAAGACGAAAATCTGCAGGCATTGGGTGCTGAAGGTGATGAATTTAACAAATGGATGTTTTTTAAAGTCCTTTTAATGTTGTATTGAGAAAAATGGGTGATGCGTTGCACATGTGGTACAAATTAGAGTGACTTGACATTTACGTGGCTCTTTCTCCATTACTCACTGTCATCACATTTGATTGGACTTTTGGCCCTTTTTGCACCTGGCATTAAAGTGCGTTTTCGGTGATCGGATCACAATCAGATAGCCTTAAACCACAGGGCACATTATGATCGGATCACTGAAACCACATTCAAATATGGTTAGGGACAGTTGTTTGAGGTTGTTTTTAATATAACAATATCTTATCTCAAGAACTTCTGTGGCAAAAGCTCTTTTTGGCTTAAGAGACACCTGTGTTGTGGTTTGCTGTCTTTTTTATTCTGTTTTACACTGTGGTTTTAGGACCTGGTCACCCAATTTAATGAACAATATCCCATGAATTGTTCCACTGCACTACACTTGAAATCTCTCATTTCTCTCCTCAAATCCTCGCTCTCGTCTCTCTCCCGGTGTGTTTTCGCGTGGGCGCTTTAAAACTTTATTTTCCACCCTTTTCTTCACTTCTAATCCCTATTAGCATCCTTTACTGTGGGAATGTTTCTAAAGCAGCCAAGCGCAATAGACCAAATGGCTTATTTTAATCTGCGAGAGTTTTGAATTATCCGTGTTTAACAAATTCGGTGAACGATGGAAATTTTTTGGTTAACGCAAACTCTGATGTAAGCTCCAAGTGTAAAGGGGGCCAACATGTCCTTTAATTTTCATTCATGAGGGTTAATCTAGATAGACAACTGATACTTATCTTTGAGTTTGCTGTTTGCTTTGCTTTGTTTTCAGATTATTGCTCTAAAAAAGTGTGCATGTGAGGATTTTCACGTTATGCATATTGCTAATTGCAGCACATTTTTATAGAAACAGTGAAATCTAAATGTGTTAACACCCTAGCTTTCTCTTTTTATGTCTTGCATAGCATAAACAAGTTTGTATGTGTGAGGAAATAAATGTGTCTCGCATGTTGTAGCAAGGTTTTCCGTATCTGGCGTGTTTTCCTGTCTGAGATTTTCTGCAACTCTTTCTTCTACATTTTGCTGTCCTGACTGTAAAGCGCAACGCTGAGGAGCAACAAGATTTTGTTGTCCTTAATTGGCAGATTTCGTCTGCTCTGTAATCCAAGCTATCTTTCCCCCCTCATTTTTGCTTATAGCACAGTGTAGGCTTTGCCGAATAATCTCCTCCAACCTGTCATTGGAGTATGACTAAAACAGGCTAGAAACACTCATAGCCCGAAGATAAAGCCTCCACATCTTCTGCAGGCACCAGCTAATGGAAGACTTGTTCATTTGCCATGCCTATCAATCATAACCTCAGTGTCATCTTTTCATATCTTGCCATTTCTTCTTGTCCTGGTTTTTCTTTACCGCTCTTACTGAGTTGTGTCGGATGTTGTTGTCGTGGTTACCATACTGTGACCCTGTCTGAGTCACAGGGTGGAGGCATATAAGAAGGTATGAAATGGAAGGTGAACTAGAACAGAAGATATGGTGTCAATTTATTCTCATGAATATCGTTTTTCTCCAGGCTGGGAAACTCATGCATTCATCTTGCCGTTCAGCCAGCCCTCCTGATCCTATTCTTATTTCCCCATCAATCATATATCAGGTTGCCTTCCCCCCCAAGCACCTCTACTTGCACTGTAAAGAACTGCCAAATACAGACTGTGCGCAATTTATGCTGAGACATTTAAGTGCTGTGTTAAGTGCCCATGTATTATGAATCCGATTGGCTGGTATATGCGCTATGATTTTCCAGTTTTCCAAACACAATTCAAACAAACTTCCAGATAAATTAGTGTAGTCTTGCATAGCCATGTAAAATCTGGTCTACATTGCAACTAATCTGGAGAACAGCCAATATAGATGTATGACTGGCATTTAAAGAGACTAACCACGTTCTGTTTCTTTCAGCGTTCACCATTGTTCGCGCCAGTCTTCGCAATAGCTAAAAAAATTAAACA